CAGGGATTTCTATGCGATGGTATCCCTTGCATTGCACTTATTCGTAATTAGCTCCATTTACACTATTTTGCAATTGTAAAGGTTCAAGACCAAGCTTGGGTGTCAAATTTCTCAAATTTGTCTATGCATCAAACTAAAACATTCATCTATGCACTGAACTGGTGTTTCAAAACGCAAACGGGTGTTTAACTCGTGGATGCTCGTGATAACATATAGGTAGCGAGTGGATATCGTTTCCTATGTGCAGCAAGTGAATTTAGTACAGGAAATCTTCCCAGTGAAGACTTCTAACGTTATGTATATTCTGACTTGTGTCAAAGTAGGACTTGTCATGGTCTCGCGAGCTGTGACAGGGCTCCGCGTACCATGCCGCAGACAGGCTGCACATACGCTCTGGATTCAAGGATCAGGACACCTGTCAAAAGCATGGTTCGCACCGTCGCGCCGCTTCAACATCACCAACAAAGCGGTCCAATGCTTCAACGTTCTTGAAAAAACACAGGAAACATGTGAAGCGCCTTGCGTAATGAAACCAGGTAAGAGCTGTACAGAGGTGGAAAGACCCGACGTTCCACAGTCCCCAGAAACAAGGTGCGAAACAAATTTGTGTTGGCAAATGACAATGACATTGAACACCAAAGTCAGGGGTAGACTCAGAACATAGCCACACACCCTTGATAGATCAGCCATAAAACACTTGCGTCATAGTGGTTCAAAAGGCCAATGATTTGGCTGCCCGTGCATCGACACACATCCTCCCGAAGTGCATTCCTCGACGCGTCCATGCACAAGCCAACCAGCACCCCCGTTCGTGGTCATCGCCACCGGGGCCTTCCCTGGAGCCATGATGCGGCTCTGCCCGAAGCTAAGGCCAGCACCCCTGTCCGTGGTCAACGCCACCGGTCCTTCCTGAAGCTCTCCTGGACGCGCCCCTGTCCGAGCCAGGCCCTGCCGAGTTTCTACACCACCAGTCAAGGCCGCCCGCCACGGTCGGCTGGGCTCGCTGCGCCCTCTGCTGCGTCGCCTCCCAGCGCGGTAGAAAGCGCAAGTGGCGGTCACTGATGTAACGCTTGCCACCCCCGGGGAAGAGGCGGCGGCCCACAGACCGCACTGCACTGAAATCCGGCCCCACGAGCGGCGCCGTCGTATGGCGGAGGGATGTCGTAACGACAGAGCCGATCCGCATGCCGAGGACGCCGGGGTCGGCCCGGAGGCGACCATGATGGAAGATATGATGGCCGACGGATAACTTGGGCAATTGGTTCTGCACGGCGCGCTCGTGTCCGCGGTACAAACGACTCAACGATAGTGGTGTGATGGTCACATTTTGACTGGATGTGGACCACCAGCTACACTAACCTCATCTCTCTCTTCTCTCTTCTCTCTCTCTCTCTCTCCTCTCTCTCTCTCTTCTCTCTCTCTCTCTCTCTCTCTCTCTCTCTCTTCTCTCTCTCTCTCTCTCCTCTCTCTCTCTCTCTCTCTCTCTCTCTCTATTCTCTCTCTCTATCTCTCTCTCTCTTCTCTCTCTCTCTCTCTCTCTCTCTCTCTCCTTCTCTCTCTCTCTCTCCTCTCTCTCTCCTCTCTCTCTCTCCCTTCTCCTCTCTCTCTCTCTCTTCTTCTCCTTCTCTCTTCTCTCTCCTCTTCTCTCTCTTCTCTCTCTCTCTCTCTTCTCTCTCTCTCTCTCCTCTCTCTCCTCTCCTCTCTCTTCTCTCTCCTCTCTCTCTCCTCTCTTCCTCTCTCTCTTCTCTCTCTCCTTCTCTTCTCTCTCCTCTCTCTCTCTCTCTCTTCTCTCTCTTCTCTCTCCTCCTCCTCTCTCTCTCTCCTCTCTCTCTCCTCTCTCTCTCTCTCTTCTCTCTCTTTCTCTCTTCTCCTCCTTCTCTCTCTTCTCTCTCTCTCTCTCTCTCTCTCTCTTCTCTCTCTCTCTCTCTCTCTTCTCCTCTCTCTCTCCTCCTCTCTCTTCTCCTCTCTCTCTCTCTCTCTCTCTCTCTCTCTCTCTCTCTCTCTCTCTCTCTCTCTCTCTCTCTCTCTCTCTCTCTCTCTCTCTCTTCTCTCTCTCTCTCTCTCTCTCTCTTCTCTCTCCTCTCTCTCTCTCTCTCTCTCTCTTCTCTCTCTCTCTCTCTCTTCTCTCTCTCTCTCTCTCTCTCTCTCTCTCTCTCTCTCTCTCTCTCTTCTCTTCTCTCTCTCTCTCTTCTCTCTCTCTCTCTCTCTCTCTCTCTCTCTTCTCTCTCTCTCTCTCTCTCTCTCTCTCTCTCTCTCCTCTCTCTCTTCTCTCTCTCTCTCTCTCTCTCTCTCTCTCTCTGGCCGGGCCCCACTTCGCCTCTGCCGCGCCGCCCCTCAGCGCGGAAAAAGCAGCCAAAGAGCATGGCAGTCAGAAAGCGGCACTTCGGTCTTGTCAATGTTCCGGCAATCAGTTAAAAGCGTGGTGGCCTTACGAGTCATCCTGATAAAGGATTCAGCTTTGTTGGTAAGACGAATTGGTAGTGCATGCAACAAAGGCATATACGTTTGTAGTGAAAATACATGAACCGCTGGCTATCGCTAGGATAAGCTTGTCAAATTTTGACGGCACTATCAAATTTCAAGAAAACATGCCTTCTCGATATGAATAGGAATGAATGTGCCAGGGCTATATTACACTAACGAAATTTTATGGAATAGTCGTTCGGACTTTGTACTGGTTTGTTATCTGGTTCGAAATATTCCATGTAGATCTTGGCAACGACGGTAACAGATGCTAACAGCCAGAGATAGTCCCATCGCCATTGCCTCGATTGCTAATGCCATTGTTCGCTGGGCTAGGACGCGGTTGTGGTGACGTAGAACATGACTAGCTCCATCGTTCTCCAGCGTGTTTCGTGCAACAGCTAAGGGCGTATTCCAGATTTGATTGGGGTTTTTAGCTGAAATCACCATTTTAAAGATTATTCGGTGCAGTTCACAGCCCTTATCAAGACAGAACCCCTTTAGTTTCTGAGCCTCACGCCCGCGAAGATGTGGAGACCTTTTCGTACAGACTATT